AGATGCAAACCCGTCCAAAACATGAAGGTAAATACACATCTTTTGCACCATTTTACCATTTTCACCATTTGGTGTCCCAATTCTCCCACACCACCGCCATATCAAATCGCGCAATTTTTTTGTCATTTGTCAGTTACAGAGCGTGTTCATGCAAACTGGCAATCGCATAAAGACGGTGTTTAGCTAGCATCGCAACATCTTGAAAGAAAGATAGTTTGTCATATGCAATACACAGACAACTCAGAATAACACTCGAAAAAAACAAGTTTTTTGGTGCTCAGACAGCACAGCCCAACCGACGGACACAAAAGGGTTGCTGAGGCTTCCCATCGTTGCACGACACATCGAATCAAAAGGTAAAGGCAAAAATCGTGCAAGGACGCTGCCCATTTTTTAAATATTGGCGTGTCCCTATTCTCCTGCGTCCCAATTCTCCCGCCTCTCCCCTACTTTATACACTACGTACTTTTGCATGCGAACTTTTGCGTACGAACATTTGCGTACGTACTTTTGGCATACGTACTTTTTACACTACGTACTTTTGCATACGTACTTTTGCGTACGAGCATTTGCGTACGTACTTTTGGCATACGTACTTTATGCACTACGTACTTTTTCATACGTACTTTTGCGTACGAACATTTGCGTACGTACTTTTGACATACGTACTTTATGCACTACGTACTTTTGCATACGTACTTTTACGTACGAACATTTGCGTACGCACTTTTGGCATACGAACTTTAGCGCCTACGTATATTTGCGTACGAACATTTGCATACGTACTTTTGTCCTACGTACTTTAGCGATACGTACTTTAGTCCTAAAATCGTTATCCCCGGCCCGGCCGGCGCGTTGCGTCCAAAGCATACCGTGCTGCCACCTGGCGAGACTTTTCGGAACTCTTAGCGCGAACATCCCCATTCCCCATACATACTCAAAAATGTATACAGTATATTCTTTCGTATAGTGAAGATAAAAAGACGTGAAGATATCGTTGCGTGATAATGTTTTCGTTGAATTTTTGGCTTCATGATGCATTTCCACACGGCTCAAAATTCACCGCAAAATACCGTTTGCCTGAGACACTTTTACTATGGAACTTGAATGCTTGACTACGATGACTATGTATTTCCATTCTCGTACATAGAGTTTGGGATATCACTAATCAGCAATCATTCATATCAGAAAGTGTACACAAGCAAGCATGTCTTGACTCTGTCTTTCAAGGTCACGCGCGGTTGCGTGATGTTGATGCATGAAAACGGCGTTTGCCGCGAGAGTAATGAATGGCCCACTCCAATTTTTTCACAGATGGTTAGGAACATTGTGACGGACATAATATGTAAAAATTACCCGAATCGAAGGTGACGTGTTTTTTGCTATTTAAATTTTTCTGTTTTAATTCAAGGTCAAATGCATTTCAAGGTCACTTCAATTTCATTTTATAATTGAAAATCAAAGCCTTATCAATTCCCTACAAGACCCTGTTAATATCATTTTGATACCAGAAAAGGAACCAGAGTTATAGACATATAAAAAATTGATGTGTGGCATTTTTTGCTATATTCGATGACCTATATCTCAGCGATACTTTATCAAATTTCGAAAATATTATACGTAACTCAGTTTTGAACCATGCCCAGTCTGCCTACAAATTTTCAGAAAAATCGAAGGGGATGACGGATTTCGGTGTTTGATTTGACGTGGAATGCCCCTGAGTGAAACGAAATCGCCAAATGTTAACAATGCGGTGAAATCCGTTAGCACTCTATCTGTTGTCTTTTTGCGAATAACACCACATCCAAATTCAATTTTATTGCATAAAAGTTTAAACAGAAGCACAGAGTAGAACAGATACACGCGTCCTAGCATCCGCTGTTCATCCCAGCAGGTGCTCAACGCGAGCTCCGTGGGCCGTCACGCAGGCCTGCAGTTGCTTGGGGACAGCTCCGACTGCGCGGACCAGCAGTCTCTGGGACAACTGGTCCCAGCAGGCCGTCAGCCTCAGTCAGCCTTTCCTTTCCTTACAATAGCACGTGAATGAGCTACTTTTATTCATGAACCTTCAACAAGCGACATGGTCAGAACAGCAAACCGTCAATCACTGATTTGCGCATTATGTTCAAAACCGTTTCACTGAGTTTCGTGACACAAATTTTATAGGCATATGTCTATGGCAATATTTATAATAATAATTAAGTTCAATCAGCTTGGTTTCATAGAGAATTGAGCGCTCTTTCTAATGGTGTTTGCAATTTGTCAATAAAGTGAAAATTTTCTGACTTACATACATTTTAACCCGCGAGTTGCTGGGGGGGGGGGGGGAGGGGCGTTAAACGCCCCCACTTTTTTTGCCGGGCCATAGCATAAAAAACGGCGCGGCGCAGGCGCGCCAAATTTTGGGTACCTGTAGGGAATTGATTGAAGTTTATTGTGACAAAGTTTCAAAAAAATCAGTTCGAAAATTTTGAGATATCGAGGTTTTAGTGACGTCATGATTTCTGAGTTTTCGACCAAAAACGGCATATGTTCAAAAAATCATATAAAATCACAGAATTAATATACAGACATGCCGTAAACGCCATTAGACTGCCAATACCATGAGCAATCAAATGGCTATCCTCGATTATTGATTATTGCTCCGCATTTTCCGAAATCTTGAACTGAATCTTGGCAATTTCTCGTGACTTCTTCACAACCATGATACATGCATTTCTTAAATTGAACTTTTTGAGCCAAACTAGTACACATGTGAGAAAAGGAATGTCACCATCGTGTTCTACGCTCCAAATTACCCATAAAACATGTGTCACAGGCTGCGAATATCAGTTTTGATTTTCGGGGATATGTGCCTACCCGGTTGACCTGACCTTGACCCTGACCTATGCTTGACTGACCCCTACATGGAGCTGACACTCTTGTAGGCCTTATATTATGGATTGTGCACCGTTTTGACAGAGTTTATGACGAGAGGCGCCCATTGCGAAGTCCTGAAGTCCATGCTACTGAAAACCCGATTTCCGGTGTTTGACCTGACCTTGACCTGACCTGTGACCTCAAAATTCAACTTTGAAGTACTCATCTGAAGCGTCTCGTCGCGCTCTTTCGTTTGCCGCCTCGTGCGTTTCGCTGCGCCTATTGGTTCTCGAGTTATCGACGGGGGGCGTTTAACGCCCACCCCCCCCCCCCCCCCAGCAAACGGTGGGTGGCGAAATACCCCAGCAACTGCCGGGTTAAGTTAGGGGTTCCATTTTTTTTTGGATCACCCTGTATATATTTATGAATTATGAATGAATGAATGAATGAATTGAATGAATGAATAATGAATAATGAATTAATTAATTATGAATTATGAATTAATAAAATATATTTATGAATATATTTATAATTATTTATGAATTAATTAATTACTTAATAAATATATTTCTATGAATTATCAATAAGGCTCTACAATATAGGCTCTTCTTCCCCCTAGTAGAAAGATATAGGTAAGACATACATAGGATTCCTCATGGCTCACTCGTGGAAATCGGATAGGTATCTTTTCCTCGCGTGTTCCACAAAAAGCTCGCTCCTTCGTCGCTCGATTTTTCAGTAACCCGCTTGGAAAAGATATCCTCATCTTCCACTCGGATCCATGACGAGTCCTCTATATCTTTCCATGTAAAACTTTATTCTTAATTAATTTAATATGATATTCAAAGGTATTCATCTAGACAAAAACAGAACTAGAGTAATTTGTTTTTAATTCATAGGCTTCATACACAAACAACCATTAACCCGCGCTCCGTTGGGGCTGCCGAGCAACGCACCCTGTTGGGGGGGGGGGCAATTTGCCCCCCCCCCCTAAGATCTCGAGAACCACACAACATAGCGACAAGCAGCAAACGGTGTTGGATAGCCCCAACGGGAAACTACCTTGTGACCCAATTTTATTGACCTAGGTCAAACCAATGACGTCACAGGTCAGGTCAAATGGCGAATTTTTACCGTTTACAGGCATTTCAAGAAATGCGTTATAAAATCGAGTAAAATGCATTTCATTGAAATTCCCCCCCCCCCCAACGGGGCGAAGTGGTTTGGTTATTGGTGCATCATCACTTCAACGCTTGATTTTTGGCTATGAACCCTCGAGACTTTATCTCTGCATCTCAGAGGAATGCAAAGATAACAATTTGTATCCCTGCATGAAAAGTGCAATATAGAAATATATCTGCACTGTAGACCCAATGGCAAACAAACATCTTATAGAAAGATAAAAATTTGTTATCTTAGCATCCCTCTGAGATGCAAAGCTAAAGCCTCGATGTTTCAAGCGTTTCAAGCAAAAATCAAGCGTTCATGTGATATGATGCGTCAATAATCGAGCCATTTTTATTGGTTGTTTGTATATGAAACTTATGAATTCAAACAACTCTAAATCTATTTTTCCATAGATGAATACATTTAAATATAGCATTTAAGTGATTAAGAATAAACCTCAACATAGAAAGATACAGGATTCTTCATGGCTTACTCGTAGAAGATCAGATATCTTTTCCTCCCGTGAAACAATAATACCTCAAAGATATCCTTATCTTCCACTCGGAGCCATAAAAAATCCTCCATATTTTCTACACGGAACCATGAAGAATCCTCTGCATCTCAAACTGGGGCGAAAAGGTGAAAGTGATCGCACCAATCCTGTCGGGTTTAGTCTGCACGCACATCTCATAGCTGCTGGCTCCTCGTTGCTGGTTTTGTCCAACATATTTGCACGTAGTTGGTACAAATGTCTGACCGAATTTGAACGCAACCTTCACTTTTTACATTTACATTACCTCTGCCGTTTAAGTGCCAACAGTGAATGCCCGTCCACAATTTATGTTCTCAGCGTAGTGTCAGCGTCCCCCCGGTGGCTAACTTTCAAGAGAATATCATGGATTGAATTCACCGACTCATGAGTCCTTCACCTATGTATACCAGGCTGCGGACTTTGGTATCTTTGCATATGTCTCATCCTGTCAACACGCGGAGCAAGACGCCGAATGTGTTCATACGCGCCGACGGCAGGGGCTCACGCCGCCTCAGTGAGCAAACGTTGACGTGTCAATGTCAGACGGCTGCGTCTGCCGTCCCCATACAGTCAATAGGGCGTGCTAACAGGAGCCGTGCCGCGGGGCCGGAGCCCTTCTACAAATACACAGGATTCATTCGCAGCGGGGTATAAAACGACGCAGCGGAATACATCATGGACAATCACTGCTCAAGGGTTGTGTGGTGCCAGCGCTGTACGAAGAGCGCTTTGTGAAACAGACGCCTGTAATATGGTAAGTGAACGCCGCACCTGGTATACCTATAACCATACCGCTCCATGTCCTACAACCATAGACCCATAGAGATCTTATGCACAAGATCTTATATCTAAGAACTATGTAAGATCTTATATCCAAGATCTATATAAGAGCTTATATATAAGATATCTATCCTATAACCATCCTATGCCAATTACCACAGACTACTCTGTAATACAGTCATACATGTTGTATCTTTATGGGCCTAAAACCGTCTCTTCTGGTATGTGGTTGCAAAAATTAGGTTTTTATCCTTTAAAGATACCCATTTTAGTAAATATTCTACGAACTGCTAGAAGGTTTCCGAAGATAATGGGAAAAGACGATTTTGTTAACCAATTCTCTACAAATGTTGATTGGGGTTGATCCTGTCTAGTATTTGCGACGAAAAAAATGAGCTCTATTTGTCTCACTACTGTTCTGTGCGGCAGCTGCTGCGGTGCGTGCTGCCGCTGCTGACGGCTGCTGCAGCTGCTGGTCAGCAGCTGGACTCCCAGCCGGCCGCTGTGCCGCTGTCCAGCGCGCCGGACCCGGCCGCCGCCTCGCTACGTCTGGCCGACGGCTGGGAGGGCGTACTGGCCCGTCAGCTCGACCCCGCCTTCTCCTGCCAGGGCCGCCGCTACGGCTACTTCGCCGACGTGTTCAACGACTGCCAGCTCTTCCATGTCTGCATGCCGGTGGTGGACAGCGAGGGGAACGTAAGCGATGAAGGGAACCGTCACCTATTGTCAGTGACGCTGCCGATTGGTTTGGAGACGTTAGCTGAACTAAGTTATGTTCCTCGTCACTCTATTTTTATTTTATTTAACAACTATAATTTTGTCTTTTCGTATGGGGGTCGTCATTTCAATACCGGTAAATTAGCTGAAACGACACCACTACCTAAAGATAAAAACATTTCTATATACATAGGTAATGATTTTCATACTATGCAGATCGAGTGTAAAATCTCCACTAAAATCACTCTATCGTCTGTTTCAGGGAGCGCACTGATCTGGCTCCCAATGTATGCAATGACTGCATTAATGCACTACCATTATCGCACTATTAGCCGATTTGTATTATTCTCGGCAGACGTTGGTGGCGCAGTACAGCTTCTTCTGCGGCAACCAGACCATGTTCGACCAGGCCAGTTTGACCTGCACCCACCCGGACAGCGCTGTCGCCTGCCAGGAGGCTGAGGCCTTCTACGAAATCTCCAATGACGAGTTCTTCAAAACGGATGAAGGTATGCTGTGTCCCTTCGCATGTGCAACAGCTGCAGTCAGTACCTTTTGAATATGGCAGTTCAAATCAGGCGATTATTTGAACTGTTTGAACTCATGTTACGTCTTTATATAAAGCGGTATGTTTCTATGCATAATGGTTCGATGGGGCCTTTAACCAATTTATTCCACGGCAATTGATCATGTTAAATTTGTTCAATAACAGCAATATTTAACATTATATAACATTGTATACGAAGGATCATGAGGTACGAAATGTTACCATGACTTGCACTGTTTTTTTCTTCTTCAGGTAGCAGCGGCGGCTCGGGCTCCGGATTCTCTGGTGGCGCTGGCTCCGGGGGGTCCGGATCCGGGTTCGGCGGAGTCGGTGCCTCTGCCAGCGTTGTCCGACCTCAGGTCGTGGCACCCGGTCCAGAGAGGCCTCTGCTGGGGGCCACCAGAGCCCCTCTAGATGAGGAGGGCAACCCCATCTCAGACCCTGAATCTACACGCAGAACTGATGGTCTCCTTGGAGCAACAAGAGCCCCTCTAGATGAGGAGGGTAACCCCATCCTGAAATCAGAGGCTACTCCCAGAACTGATGGTCTCCTGGGGGCTACACGAGCCCCTCTAGATGAGGAGGGTAACCCCATCCTGAAACCAGAGGCTACTCCCAGAACTGATGGTCTCTTGGGGGCTACACGAGCCCCTCTAGATGAGGAGGGTAACCCCATCCTGAAACCAGAGGCTACTCCCAGAACTGATGGTCTCTTGGGGGCTACACGAGCCCCTCTAGATGAGGAGGGTAACCCCATCCTGAAACTAGAGGCTATCCCCAGAACTGATGGTCTATTGGGGGCTACACGAGCCCCTCTAGATGAGGAGGGTAACCCCATCCTGAAACTAGAGGCTGCCCCCAGAACTGATGGTCTATTGGGGGCTACACGAGCCCCTCTAGATAAGGAGGGTAACCCCATCCTGGAACCAGAGGCTACTCCCAGAACTGATGGTCTATTGGGGGCTACACGAGCCCCTCTAGATGAGGAGGGTAACCCTATCCTGAAACCAGAGGCTACTCCTAGAACTGATGGTCTCCTTGGAGCCACCAGAGCCCCTCTAGATGAGGAGGGTAATCCCATCCTGAAACCAGAGGCTACTCCCAGAACTGATGGTCTATTGGGGGCCACACGAGCCCCTCTAGATGAGGAGGGTAACCCCATCCTGAAACCAGAGGCTACTCCCAGAACTGATGGTCTATTGGGGGCCACACGAGCCCCTCTAGATGAGGAGGGTAACCCCATCCTGAAACCAGAGGCTACTCCCGGAACGGATGGTCTCAGAGGCACTGCTAAAGAAGAGTGAATCGAATTTTGCTATATGCGTTTTCCGAAGATTTTTTTTTATATTTTAATTCCATTGTAATTTATTAGTCCTTCGCTTAATATACATGTATGCGTTTACTTCTGTGTTATTTGAGCGATATTGACATTGTTTCTGTGAAGTACTGGAACTTAGCGCTAGAAGACTGCTGCTCAGGTCGGATGTAAACTATCATGGAACCACTTTTAATTTTCAGAGGCATACACTCGTGACTGTGGGAACTGCAACTGCTGCTATTTCCCGATGTGTAGACTGTCTTATTTGTCCAAAATGGTATAGCTAATTAAAGCAAACATATTTATTAGAATCTTTATTGTCCTTAGAGGAAATGCGCTGTAGAAATACGAAAGGGTCCTTTCGCTGGTACTATATTCATCACTGTTATTTAATCACCTAACATTGATAATAACTTATGGAACTATTTGAATATATCAACATTTTAGGCTAAAAGAGTTCAGCAATCTATTACTTCTGGTAAGAGTTATACTGCTGTCTGCTTCGACCTGCCACGTGGTACGATTTTACTGGTCTTTGATCTGTTTTTTGATGTTGTAAGTCATTAGTCTACAAAGGCAAAATTAGTTTATGTACTGAATCAAGTAAGGCGCTTTTTTCCAGCGTTTATTTTTCCTCGTTCACTCCGACTGCAGTGTGCTCAGTGCTCTAATCCATGAATGATGAACATGCTTCATGCTCGCAACGAAATAATCACGGATTAATACTGATATATGGCCACACATATCACAGAGGCTTGCTGGTCTGACGTTTCAATGTCGTTACCGTGAGATTCGTTCCCACTTCCCGCAGATCCGTTCAGTGTTTGAAGCGGGTCACAACCGGCTTAGGGCCAGTGGATCAGCAGTAGGTTCCACGTCTGACTATCTTTTCTACCATACCGGCGACGTGGTGTCGGGTATCAGCGCTGCAGCACAGTGCTCGTTTTTACGTCATGTGTGCTCCCCTGCGGCTCTGAAAAAGCCACAGCTGCTCAAAATCCACGGCCAGCAATTTATTACAATGATTGACTTCTTTTGAGGTATGGTAACAGTCTGTTTTCATGTATGCCAGCCAGTAGTTCTTCTCGGACGCGATAATGGAGTACGGCATCATAGAAAAAATATGGTTGATCAAGATTTAGCTAAAATGTATACAAAAATACTTTTAGGTGTCTTGGCTTGCTAGGAAATTCCTTGCGACTAATTTGTTGCCATTGGGGAGCCGGGAGGGAGATTAGAGTTGGAAATTGAAATACCGTGCAGCTTGTCAATCGTCAGCACTGCCGTATGAAATAAACCAGCTGTTTTGAAATAAGCGGAGACGGGTAGCCTCTAGCAGCGTAAAAAATCATCTAACACCCGCCGCTGTCACACGAGTCGTCGGAGCCGGTTTCAGTTGCGCCACCCTTTCCTCCCTCGCTGCTCTCCGGACTTCCTTGGTCGGCGCTCGCGGCACTAGAGATGAGCGTTGCGCGTTACCACATCGCCGCTCAGTTAACCCCCCCCCCCCCCGGGGGCGGTGGTGAGCCTCGTCTAGGGCCCGCGGCGGGTGGTGCAATGTGCAATACTGCAAACACGCGGGCTGAGGCCTGAGAGGATGGTCCGTTGCGGGCGGGGCGCAGCGGACGCGAGCTAACAGAGGAGGTTCAGATTGCAGCGTGACTTTTTTATATCGCACTTACCTACATTCATATTGCTTAAAGTGCATGATGTAGGTAACTACTGCCCGAGCACAACAGGATGCTGGGTTATTTGCGCGCTATTGTGGCGTTCGGCGTCTATTCTGTAGGCACACTGCTCTCATATTATGTTTTTAGTGGCTGTCAGTGTCGTAAATAAACATAGGTCACATGTTAGGCGGTTACCAGCAATCAGCATGCAATCCATATTTTGTCAAACCAGCAAGTCACACTCGGTCATCGTCCTTGTTACTAGAACCTTGAGGCATCAAAGACCAAAGAAAGAAAATCATATCACGCACTCACCTCACATCAGACATCAGCTAATCAACTATATACCTAATATAGCATTTCGCTAGGAGCGTTTAGAAAGCGATTACATTCGGCGTCCGATTACCTACGTGTAGTTCGCTTTCCGATACCAGCCACGGAATGCCTGGATAAACCTTGTTCATGTGTAGCATTGTATTTGATATTGACATAGACATGAGCATAGACCTCTAACCTCGGTATACAGATGTATGTGACATGAGGTTTGCAGCGATAACATGAAGCGTTATGACACGCACGAAGTACATACACACAGACAAGATTGGTGGTTATGGGGTCGATCATATGCTCCGATTCGGTATCATTTCGGTTAGCATTTGTGTAAAGTGCTCTGCAAATTCTGGATGTTTTAGGTATATTCTTCCATGTAAAGACACACATCGATTTCATTAGTTTTTTCTTCTTTTGGATTGCGGTGCTGCTAAAAAGTAAACAAATTGTCCAAATAGCAAACGTGACGACATGAAAGAACACATGATCATGCAGTTCAATAAGACACACAATAACGGTGTACAATCACATACAAAAACTCATGTGCTCATATAATGCGCTCCTTGACACAGCACACAATCCTCAGCAGTCAGCATATCATTATCCAAGCACCCACAGAACCATCACTTTTGAACACGCACTGTTGGTAACTAAGTAGTGGAAGTCTCAACCATTGAAAGGATCAACCGAATGGGCTTCCATGTGGTAACTGTACAACCACTTCACGTGGCAACTGGACAACATTCCCTGTGGTAACTAGACCAACTATTTCAGGTGGTAACTGGACAAACTGTCGGTAAATGGACTGGACGGTAACATTAATCTAAATCTACAAGCTTCTGAGTACAGTTGTGATGGCTGCTGTCAGCGTCACAAGGTCACATACGATATCCTGAATCTTTCGACTTTCGATGGATACCTTTGCTAACCCAATAGCTGCCTTTTTCCGGAAACACGAATGAAATTTGATTGTCTGCTCTGTAAAATGTGTTGATTGGGCCCTTCCTAATATTTCATTTTTTCAAATATCTTGAGGTCGGAAGCACGCCCTTAGTGATTCCAAAAAAAACTCATTTCTCCTGGCGAAACGTCTTATGCTTAAAACGCTTAAAACAGACTCGGGAGTCCTCTTGATCACGACTAACCACCGCCTGAATGCTTCGAGGTGGTTATTTGACATCCCCTATTACACCCGCGATACTCAAGAGGCACGACAAACCAAACCACTGCCCTTCTCTCTGACCTCACAGACTCGGCAGTCCGATCCTCAGGTCGAGCAGGCCCGCCCCATCTGTGTTGAGCGCGCCACTACCGGCCGAGTTTTCCAGCTCGGTCAGCGGAACTTCCACGGTCTCCCGCCCTCCTGCTGTCTGGGCATCAACCCCAGACTGCAGCGCGTCCACCGGAACACCTCCTGTGACCCCGATGAGGACCACCTGGCCGTCGTCAGTCGGCGGGCTCACTTCTTGCACGGGAACCGGAGGCGAGGCGCCGGCGTTGAAGCCGACGTCGCGGAAGAACTGCGAGTTGCTGGACTCGTAGAACTGTCGGGCGCCGGAGCACGCCGACCGGTCCAGGGACTCGTGGACGCACGTCAGCAGCTGCTGGTCAAACTCGGTGCCCACGTTGCAGAAGAAGCTGTCGTCAAAAGAGTGGGAGGGGTGCTGGTTAGGGCTTGGTGAGGGGTGGGTTGGCTGGGTCATATCAATGAGGCCAAAAGTGGTTAGTTTAACAAATCGTTTTTATCTAACAACATGCAAGCAAACTGCACTCTTGTCTCGCCTCTGCAAAGACATGTTCACTGGTACCAAACCTGTCCGGTTGCAGACACATGCTGCGAGTAATACGATTATCCTGCTCATCCCCACTGCTGTTCTCTACAAACTCGTCTTGCAACTGGTTTCTGGGTCATCAGATGTATCCCGTGGCATAATCACGTCGCGGGGACATATCTCACCGTTCACATAAGCCGATGCGACCAAATGCTGCAACTTGTGCTTACCCCCCCCCCCCCCCCACATGACTCGGCTACCATAAACTGGGTTGCATGAATTAGTTGTTTGAATGACCGCATAGTGTTAGCAGTCTGTCATGTGAATTTGGATGTGTTACCTTACTAAATACTTTGTTCTGATCAGCTTATTTCCCCTTGTCACATCTGACAGATTTAGCACACCTTAGATTTAACTCTGACTTCTTGTTAGTCGTTTACGGCGCTTCACTAACTTGCAGGCTCTGTTTGGTCGTTGTTTCACATTCGAAAGGCATGCTTGAACGCCTTCACTGACCTGAACTGACTGGTCTAAGTGCTCTGTCACCGAAATGTTTGGTGGGTCTTAGTACAGGTCTGGGTGCCTGCTCACCTGAATTGGTTGGCCTGAGTGCCCTGAGTACCCTGAGTACCCTCCCACATCTACACTGGCTGGTGTGAGTGTCATCATAAACCTAAACTGGTTGGGAGTGCCCTGAGCGCCCTGCGTGCTCTCACTCACCTAACTGGCTGGTCTGAGTATCCTGAGAGCCTTGAGTGGCCTCGCTCACCTGGTCTGAGTGCCCTGCGTGCCCCGAGTGTCCTCACTCACCTGGTCTGACTGTCCTGACTGCCCTGAGTGCTCTCACTCACCTAACTGGTTGGTCTGAGTGCCCTGTGTGCCCCGAGTGGCCTCACTCACCTGAACTGGTTGGTCTGAGTGCCGCTCCGGCCCGGATCACAGACGTGGTACACCCGACAGTCGTTGCTGGAGTCGGCGTAGTAGCCATACGGGAGGCCCTCGCAGCTGTAAAGTGAACAGGGTGGCAAATGGAGTTAAATAAAAAATAAAACAATCGGACTAAGTACCTATAAATATAACTAGCTTTTATAACTAACTTTTTATAACTTTTTAAATTCTAGGATATCAATTTTATCAGATTAGTATAAATGCAATTGGTCATGGCCCAGTTATGCTTTTAAAAGGCTCATCCATGTTGCGTTTCAAAATCATTACCCGATTAATTCCAGTCTTTCTGGCGTTGATCTGAAATATTTTCGAGAACATTTTGGATGTGATCGTTTTTCGACGCAGCGTTATTTATTGCTGCTTCGTTTTTCTGTCTTCGAAACATATTATTTTAAATGAAAAATATAATAGCAATTTCGTTGTCAGCAGTTCTAGCATTCAGTTGAGCTCTGAGATCCATGGTGTCTGACCCGTTTTAGATCAAGTTAGTTATGCAACGGTATTATAGGCATTTTTGAGATAATTAGATGGCAGCATCAGCTGAATAACTGACTTGTTCTTATTGGATCTGGTATGGTGCAATTAACGAACGAGTGATAAAGGAACAGCATTTACACATTTCACTGTTCAAACACATCAACTCCTGGACAGGTCAAGTTCAGACAAGGAGCATCTTGTGCTCTGCGTGTTATAAAATGGGCTGACGGACAGCGGTGGCGGTGTGCGAGTTTCGTCCTCCGTTAGGCGTCCTCGGCCTATAGCTGGAACACGTTGCCCAACTCGTAATCCGGCTACAGTCTGGAGTGTCGGCCCGGGCCGCACCGTGTCACCGCTCGTCTGAGCCGCCACTCGTCATCAGTCCGGTGTCTAAAGGTCTGTGAAGTTTTTAAAAACACACGTATCATCGCTGGTGAGAAATGGTTTGTCAAACGTCCCTGTACATATGTTGTCGTTGAATAGTCGTCTGTCTGGACAGCGTAACCTGCCTGGTAGTCGATGAATACAAAGTCAACGGAGGTCATATATTATGTTTGCTCCTGCAGCAACATATACTCCAACTGATCCTACCGATCATGCATGCTTCCAATCTTTGCAACGATCTGTCAAAATAACGTTTTGGCAGTCTTTTTATTTCAATGTCTTTTTGCTGCTGGAAAGGATGGGTTCTATGAAATGCGGAGGACTTGTCTCACATATTTTTGTTGTAAATTCTCAACTGGGTGCGGGCGCTTGTTCATCAGGGGGCATTAGTGATATCACTGTAAAGTAATGCAAAATCTAAATGCCCATGGTATACGCAGAAGACCATGAAACTCTACATGAAATTTACAGAGGATAATCGTATAGCCAGCCAAAATTACATGAGTGAATGTGTGCCAGAAAAACAATAACAGCCATGTGATTTTTGGTCCTCAAAATAAAATTGTTTTTTTATGGAAAAAGGCGATGCCTCCGGATTAGTCATTCTACAACGGGTAACGGCAAAAGTGTGCTGAACAAAAGGAATATGTAATTATGTTAAGTAATTTACTAGGTGGCGGAGAAAACTAACAACAGATGTCATTCAGAAACTAATGCTTATTCCATTAAAACACAGTCGGGACTCAATCAATGCTAAAGCTCTCTCTCTCTCTCTCTCTCTCTCTCTCTCTCTCTCTCTCTCTCTCTCTCTCTCTCTCTCTCTCTCTCTCTCTCTCTCTCTCTCTCTCTCTCTCTCTCTCTCTCTCTCTCTCTCTCTCTCTCTCTCTCTCTCTCTCTCTCTCTCTCTCTCTCTCTCTCTCTCTCTCTCTCTCTCTCTCTCTCTCTCTCTCTCTCTCTCTCTCTCTCTCTCTCTCTCTCTCTCTTTCACTCTTCCACTCTCTCTCTCCCTCCCTCTTTCTCTTCCTAAGTGATCAAAGCCGGACGAGATGTGAGAAGCATCGTTACAAACCATTCATGATTCCTGGATACACTATCTTCCTTATACCTAATACCGACCAATGTGAGCTAGCTGGCCACGTTTTGACGTTTAACCTACGACCTACACACATCATTAACGTCTACATGTACATCCTCAGGCTCCATCACGTTCCAGTATGCACTTAAACGAAAACGAAAACGCCACTAATAAAACGGCACACTCGTCTGCCAATTTTCCTACTGACCCGACCTTGTTGCTGACCTTGTGACCCCGTCTGACCCGAATAGGTGACCTCGCCGCTGACCTGAAGCTCTCATCGATCCTGCCGAGCAGCTCGGTGGCTCCGGATGACAGTCCGAGTGGTTCGTTTGACGATCCGGCGGTGGGAACCCTGGGTGCCGCCGGGTTACTGCTCCGCACCAGGCCGCTGTCAACAGCCGCTGACGGGTTCTCCTGCTTGAACCGTCTGTGGGGAGAGCCATAGGTCAGAGAGCGAGAGCGAGAGAGAGGGGGCAGAGAAAGAGAGAGAGAGAGAGAGAGAGAGAGAGAGAGAGAGAGAGAGAGAGAGAGAGAGAGAGAGAGAGAGAGAGAGGTTGACAGGAAGAGAGAGACATGCAAACGCACAGTCAGACATGTGCACGGATAAAAAATGAATCTGAGATCTGATCCCAGGATCCTGATCTCGTATCCAATGGGATGAGACATCCGAATCTAGAGATCTGGTAAAATCTTTCGTATGTTTTGTCGACATAGATATGTTTAACCCTCGCCGGACCTATTGGTTTTCTACATACGCGCCGACCGAGGGGGGTGGGGGTATATGACACCCCCCCTCGCCATTTCGCCCGTAATGAAAATAGAGCGTCGCGTAAGCAAGGGCGTGTGCGCCGTTCAGTGATGCAACGATTGGTACCCGATGATTTTAAGGTCTCGAGCCGCGATTTTGACGGCATCGTGTTTGCCTTGCTCAGGCGCGTCGAATGGTATATTTTTTTGGATGAGGTCAACTTTAGGCGCTGACCTCGGGTCACGGTCAGGTCAGAGCCCCTCAGGTCACGAACTTGGTCGAAGAAGAAGAAGTCGCATATCATCCGATTTGGCAGGTCTTCCCGAGTCCATTGATGGCTTTCCCGACTCGCCCTGATTTAATGAGGCCCTGATTTAACATTGTCAAGAGATAGGGCACGACATCAACCAACGACCGTGTTTTAACCCTCGCCGGCCGAGGGGGGGGGGGGCGGGTGCCGCCCCCCATAGGGTTTTTTCGCGATAGCTCCGAATGCGCTGGCGATAGAGAGCTGAAACTTGGCATACCTGACCTTTGATCCAAGCCGCATCTTTTGACACCAATCGCATTTTTGGGTCAGGTCAGGTCACTGACCTATGACGTCATAAGTGAACCTCTGCACGGTATTCAGATGTCGCAACTTCGCAACGCCCTCACTGCCAGAGGAGATGTCAGAGGGAAATGAAACTTGCAGGATCTAGTATCCATTATGAGTCTCACAACTTGTATATCTCGGATTTTTCCTAAAGGTCATATGAGGTCAGGTCATTTTCGTGACCTCACCATTATAAGTCAATGGGGAAAAATGAAAACTGCTATTCTGGCGCCGGGAACGATCTCCAACTATCTCAAGCACACAGAATCGTGATTTGATGCACTCCTTGCAAGGTTAGATGCGTCACTTTTGCAATGTTGACCTTGCGTGACGTCATGTATGACGTCATCAAGGTCATATTAGTTTTTCGTCAATAACTCCCGATCAAATTGAGCTAGCGAGTCGAGAAAGCCACCAATGGACTCAGGAAGACCTGCCGAATCGAATGATATGCAACATGACCTCTTTCGACCAACTTCGTGACCTGGGGGTGCTGACCTGACCTTGACCTGAGGTCAACACCCCAAGTTGACCTGACCCGAACAAAAAATATATCATTCGATGCGCCTGAGCGAGGCGAACACGATGCTGCCAAAATCGCGGCTCTGCGGCCGTTTTTTGCGAAGTTATTCACCAAAAACGGAACCGTACCCTGGGGCACTTGACCTGACCTCAGAGGTCACCGGTTGACCTAGGACCTTAAAATCGGGTACCAATCTCTGCGTCTCGTAACGGCGCACACGCTCGTTTTTTTTTCCGCGACGCGCTAGCTCCACCAGGGGCGCAACGGCGAGGGGGGGGGGGTCGTACCCGCCCCCCCCCCCCTCGGCCGGCGCGTATGTAGAAAACCAATAGGTCCGGCGAGGGTTAAATGACAGATGTCAATAAGCCGATCATATGTCATTTGGCAACTGACTGCTGTCAAACTCTGACGGCTGACTTGACATACGACATACGACTACAGTAAGTAAGCGAGCAAAACCTCCTGATAACGTAACTTGTTGGATGCTTGGCTAGGGGACATGAAAAATGATCCTATGGACTACTTGGGTCCATAGGATCTGGGTACTCGTAGTCCATAGGATCATTTTTTATATTCCCTAGCCAAGCATCCAACAAGTTATGTTATCAGAAGGTCTTGCTCGCTTACTTACTGGCTCTCAGTGACATGTAAACAAACGGAAACAAACATGGTTGACAAATAAGCATTTGATGTATGAGCTTAGTTTTAGGTATCCTCAACCACCCATTCTTCGGGATTCTTCGAAAACTTTTTGCCGCAATCTATTTCCACGGAAGTTAAAGAAACTACGAGTTGTGCTTGACAATGGATATCCATTGTCATTCCAAGCATTCTAGCGTCCAGCAATGCAGAGCTTGTCAAACGTCTGTTTGAAGCTCACTCTGAGGTCCTTTGTGATTCATAAACCGCACAACTCGTCCCATTCATTCCTCCGACTGCCTTACTCTATGTAAAGAGCACATCGTTTCGCTACTTCCTATCTTCCGAGCACGTCAATCAGGTCAATGATATTGTTTTTGAGCTGTCTCACTACACAACTGTAATACGGCCACGACTAATGACATTCTCAGCATGTAGCGACGATATGTTAGCCGTCGCCTGCTGACTGGGATACTGACTAAGTGACTAGTAATTCCTCAATCCTCATGCACAGACACATCGCGCGTGTGTCACTCACTGCTAGTGCTAGTTGACAAGTACCCGTTAAAGTGTGGCACTCATAAGCGGAATGCAGGGTTTGCAGACCTGCCGCGGAATGCAGTACGTGCAAGTGGAAGGCGTGGGCCAAAACAGACCGTTCCACACTCGCTGTTTGTTCGCCACAGAGCCGTGGTGATGACTGTCGCTGACAACACACTAGCGAGGGGTGAGCGGCAGAGACCGGACATGGCTTCAAGCGGAAGGACTCTCATCGGTTCGGGAAAGTCAAGCAGCCTTTTTATGGAGGCTGATGAATGTTCACATATCTTTTTTTCCATATCGAGCAGCTATTTTTTCACAATACTCAATCGGTTGTTCATTATTCCACAGCTTGGGTTGCACACAGCAATCCACACCGGCGCGTTGTTGTCCCAAAATGACTGGTAATCGACGAAGCCTTTTTCCGGCTCGTCGCTCTGGCTCCGACCCACACCATTTCACTGCATGGTCCAATCACCACGGCCCTTGCCCTAATGGACGAAAAAACAATCAGCGCGTGAGGTCACTACACAGTGTTCGTGCTCCACTCAGCAACGTGATAGCAGCCGATGTCTTATCCATCAGTGAATTTATCATTAATGTATGTGACTGGCGCGGCACATTGCTTCCCCAGAGGAACGCCAATCATCCATGGAGGAAGTGGCGACTCACTGCTCGCTAGATTTTTATCACCGGTTGTTTCGCCATGGAGACGTTCTCGCCGTCGTTGAACATCTTCCCGTGTGGTGGGATCTATTTGCCACAATCGGTTGCGCAAGACAACACGCAAACTGATGCTGCAACAGGCAGCGGAATCGCACATCTCTGACAACTTTCGCGCAGGGGATAAGACATCAGAGGCGTAACCGCAACCAGGAATGCTGCCCAATCAGCTGACTGCACGCGGCAAACGTGGCGCGTCTGTTCGTCACGTCACCTTCCTCTCATGACGTCATTTAGTCACTGTGTCATCTGTGGCCCTTCCCGGCGCACTCTGAATGTGTGAGCTGGTAGCTGATTACACATCGAAGTAAGACAAACAAAAACACGGCTTCTGCCCTCGGCCGGCAGTCGGCTGCGGTCGAAGAGGACGAGCGACGCGTCAGGTTCTTACACGGCTACCTGACGAAAGTAGCAGGTGAAGAAGGCTGAGACGAGCGCTGGTGACGGGGGGAAAGGGAAGCCGTGGGATCGATTGGTGACAGGGGAGCGGGTGGAGATAGATGGGCTGTCGCCGTTCAGTGCGGCTGGATAGGGAAGTCAGGTTTGGGAAAGATGGATTTTTGCAAGTGATGTGAGTGTCAGAGCGTGTCCTTGTCGCTTAGATTCAACGATTTGTCGGGATCGCGAACGACCCGCATGAAACTGTAACCGTCTATTGAGGAATACTAGAAATGCAGACCATTTGGGTCAGATGCTAGGAAGATGTGGAAGAGGAGTCGTTGAAATGCAGATAATCTGGCTCGCAGCCTAGGAAACAATGGAAACCATGCACTTTCAACCATTCAATAAAATTTTACGTTTGTTTAAGTCGGCTACCTGCGAGTAGAGTTAAAAGAATATTTTTATTTGTGCAATAACTCCTCATAGAGCGTAGTGCGAACTTTCCTCAAGCAATGAATTGTTGTTTTCCCTCGGTTCTAAACAGACATTTTACCTTCCACACTATCCAGAGGACTTACCTTTTGAACTGGTCGAACGTTTCTCCCGGCTGGAGCTCCCCGACCACGAAGAAGTTCTGGTCCACCACGCTGGTGCCCACCAGCTGTAGCTGGGCGTGTGCCGTGGCGAGCACAGCCGCTGCAACACCGGACACACATGGTCACACGTGGTCTTACACTGCGGCCTGCGCCGACCGCAGAGCCGCCCCTGTCCCATATCCCTCGGCTGATACCATGGGGCATCCGGATTGATGGTAGGTCAGAGGTGGGCTGCTTTCAGGATGTTTGGTGTTGAAATGACATAAGAACGGAGACTGACCGGGATTATAATGTCAGCATCCCTGCTACATATTGACAGCGACAGTCTTGGCGGCAGCTATTAGTCAAAATGCCTAGTTATAAGTACAGCCACACATTCTGTTCCCCATACCAAAATGAAAGCGGGAGTCAGGCCTATTTGGCTCATCTGAGAGAAGCCTAGCGCACGAATTTCTAAGACATTTCGTTTTTTAACCATTAAACAAGTACCTAACAACCAACAGCAAGCAAACATCTATCATATTGTTGCAATGTGACTGAAAGAAAGCCGGTTAGATTATTTCATCTATGAGTGGGAATTCCAATCGGTCGTTCAGGTTTTAGTGGTTTAGTGATTGCAATAAATAGCAATGGTTTGCTAATGTGCTCTTCCACCGTTTTAGCAATCTATACTACTATTTGAACAGGATCCGTCTGTTTGTTTGTTTGTTTGTCCGCCACGCCGTGTAGTGGGTTCAATTTAGCCGGCCTACAGGGCAGACGGTATATCGTAGGGGGTTGAAATTTGCACACCTTCTAGGTGACAGAGCGGGTCAGCGCCTTTTCTGGGTTTCGGCTCGCTGGGGTGCACGGTTCGCGCGTGGGGCGCGCTGGAAGAACGCCAATGAAATTTTGATCGGTTCGTAGATCTTCATTGAGAGCCGGGGTCGACAAACTTTGTGAACTAAATGCATGCCGATCGGTGGCGGGTGCCTCGCATTGGCGGATGGGCAGGTTTTAATTTGAATGAAAAGTGGCGAAAAAATGTGTTGATTGTCGCTTAATGGGTACAGTTTGTGATAGGAATTTACAAATGCACCGCGTTTGCCGCAATGCGTCACATTGGTCACAAGGCGCCATTTTTGCCGCAGCTCGCACAGTTTTGTCAAATATGACCCGATAAGGGTACAATTTAATGCCAAGATGCATGCTCAATCGCCGGGTGAAAATGCGCCGCGTTTGTCGCAATGCGCCACATATGCCACAAAGCGCCATTTCCGACAAATTCGATTAAGCGTAATGGAATGGCACGAATAGGGGCAGGGCTGGGAACACTTAAAGTCTGATATTTTAGTACTGATTGGATCCAATTATTCTGTGACCTGACATGACCCAGCGGTGTTGGTAGGGGTAGGGGTAGGGGTAGGGGTAGGGGTAGGGGTAGGGGTAGGGGTAGTGGTAGGAGTGGTAGTAGGGGTAGGGGTAGTGGTAGGGATAGTAGTAGTGGTAGGGGTAGTAGTAGGGGTAGTAGTAGGGGTAGTGGTATGGGAAGTGGTAGGGGTAGGAGTATGGGTGGTAGTAGTGGTAGGGGTAGATGTAGTGGTAGGGGTAGGGGTAGGGGTAGTGGTAGTGGTAGGGGTAGTGGTAGGGGTAGTGGTAGGGGTAGTGGTAGTGGTAGGGGTAGTGGTAGGGGTAGTGGTAGGGGTAGTGGTAGAGGTAGGGGTAGTGGTAGTGGTAGGGGTAGGGGTAGTGGTGGAGGCAAAAGTAGAACAGTGGCCCGGGCTGATCCCATCGGACGAGAGGTGACCTATGTGACCTGGCCTGACCCAAAGTGACCGAAGCTGACACCTTTGACCCGTCTTGACCCTGTATCACCCAAATTTCATCCAACAAGGCCCCCAGAACAGCTCTTTTTTAATTCTCTTCACATTTCCGTCTATATCTATGCTTCTAGACGACACATCGATTTGAAACGAACACCATTCGAAAGCAAATTGGCTGGTGCCGCAATTTTTTTCCTACCACGCAGCAAAGCAAGTGGCGCAGCCGCTTGTCTAACTTACTATTCAAACAGAATCCGTCTGTGAGTCTGTGAGTCTGTGTGTCCGCACATCGTGTAGTGGGTTCAATTAACCTCGCCTACAAGGCAGACGGTATGTCGTAGGAAGTTGAAAGTTGCACACCTTATAGGTGACAGAGCGGGTCAGCGCCTTTTCTAGGTTTCGGCTCGCTGGGGTGCACGGTTCGCGCGTGGGGCGCGCTGGAAGAACGCCAATGAAATTTTGATCGGTTCGTAGATCTTCATTGAGAGCCGGGGTCGACAAACTTTGTGGACTAAATGCATGCCGATCGGTGGCGGGTGCCTCGCATTGGCGGATGGGCAAGTTTTTAATTTGAATGAAAAGTGGCGAGATAATGTATAGATTATAAAAATGCACCGTGAAAGGTGACCAAGTATAAAAATGCACCGTGTTTGCCGCAATGCGTCACATTGGTGACAAGGCGTCATTTTTGCCGCAAATCGCACAGTTTTGTCAAATATGGTCCGATAAGGGTACAATTTGTTGCCAGGATACATGCTCAGCCAACAGGTTCAGATGCGCCGCGTTTGTCGCAATGCGCCACATATGCCACAAAGCGCCATTTCCGACAAATACGATTAAGCGTAATGGAATGGCACGAATAGGGGCAGGGCTGGGAACACTTTAAGTCTGATATTTAAGTACTGATTGGATCCAATTATTCTGTGACCTGACATGACCCGGCGGTGTTGGTAGGGGGGTAGGGGTAGGGGTAGGGGTAGGGGTAGGGGTAGTGGTAGGGGTAGGGGTAGGGGTAGTAGTAGGGGTAGTAGTAGGGGTAGTGGTAGGGGTAGTGGTAGTGGTAGTGGTAGATGTAGTGGTAGGGGTAGGGGTAGGGGTAGTAGTAGGGGTAGTGGTAGGGGTAGTGGTAGGGGTAGTGGTAGAGGTAGGAGTAGTGGTAGGGGTAGGGGTAGGGGTAGTGGTGGAGGCAAAAGTAGAACAGTGGCCCGGGCTGATCCGATCGGACGAGAGGCGACCTATGTGACCTGGCCTGACCTAAAGTGACCGGGGCTGACCCCTTTGGCCCATCTTGACCCCGTATCAGCGAAATTTCATCCAACAAAGCCCCCAGAACAGCTCTTTTTTCTCTTCACATTTCCGTCCATATCTACAGGGTGTCCGGAAAGTCCTGGCGCTTTTCAACATTGTTAAGATAAATGCCTTTGGTCCATAGATACTCAACAATAGAACGAAACAATGACCAGGAACACCAAGCCACATCCTTCTGCTAAGTGCCCATTCATTGTAACCACCGTCTGTGCCGACGACGGCCTCGACGCAAGGGCGGAAACGCCTGCGGGTTTTGACGGTGCAGGACATTTCCTGTCCTCCCATGCTGTCATGATGCGAGTGTTCAGGGACTCCAGGCTGGGATGAGAGGTGGCCTAGAGCTTATTCTGCAAAACGCGTAGCATGCCTTAGTCGAGCGGGTTAAGGCTGGGATAATAAGGTGGCCTAATCTCATTTCACCACGGTGATCTGGTCCGCCGAGCTCCTCTGTCAGTTTCGTTTGGACGGCAGCGGCGTTGTTGGGGGGCGCTCCGTGCTGTTGAAGTGCGACATGACCCTTAGGGCAAGTCGCCTTGATTGTCGTGTCCAGGAACCCCTCGTGGACCAGCCTATCAGTCATTTATTTGACCTTGACGAAGATGATGGGACATTTGTGTCCATCAGACCCAAGATTTTCTTCGATTGCCGCTGAAATGCTGGTTCAGTCTCAGCAGCTTTGGCATACCGTGGTTGTAGCTGAGTGAGAATATTTTCTAAGACATTTCCGATCTGGAGTGCACCTTTGCCTGCTCAACCGTTCGCCGGGAAACGCCGCATCGCGTTGCAACTCGCGCCTCGTTCAAGCCGCACCGGGCCCCCGCGCGCGGGCTCTCAGCGACAAGGCGCATCTTCGCCCATATACCTAGCACTGAAAACGGTTTCAAGGTCATATTTACGCGACCCCTAGCTGAGCGGTGAACGAGGGGTCATATCTGCGGTGATTGGTTGAAAGTCCAATAATCACAGCGCGCGTTAGACGACGTCCAAAAGAGGCGCCAGAACTTTCCGGACACCCTGTATGCTTCTAGCCAACATATCGATTTGAAACGAACACCATTCGAAAGCAAATTGGCTGGTGCCGCAATTTTCTCCTACCACGCAGCAAAGCAAGTGGCGCAGCCGCTTGTCTATATTACTATTTGAACAGGATCCATCTGTCTGTTTGTTTGTCCGCCACGCCGTGTAGTGGGTTCAATTTAGCCGGCCTACAGGGCAGACGGTATATCGTAGGGGGTTGAAAGTTGCACACCTTCTAGGTGACAGAGCGGGTCAGCGCCTTTTCTAGGTTTCGGCTCGCTGGGGTGCACGGTTCGCGCGTGGGGCGCGCCGGAAGAACGCCAATGAAATTTTGATCGGTTCTTATATCTTCATTGAGAGCCGGGGTCGACAAACTTTGCGGACTAAATGCATGCCGATCGGCGGCGAGTGCCTCGCATTGGCGGATCGGCAAGTTATTAATTTGAATGAAAAGTGGCGAGAGATTGTGTAGATTTTCGTTGAATGGCAACAGTTTGTGATAGGATTTTACAAATGCACCGCGTTTGCCGCAAGGCGTCACATTGGCCACAGGGCGTCATTTTTGCCGCAAATCGCACAGTTTTGTCAAATATGGTCTGATAAGAGTACAATTTGGTGCCAGGATGCATGCTCAATCGCCGGGTGAAAATGCGCCGCGTTTGTCGCAATGCGCCACATTTGTCACAAAGCACCATTTCCGACAAAATCGAGTAAGGGCAATGGAATGGCACGAATTATTCTGTGATCTGACATGACCCAGCGGTGTTGGTAGGGGTAGGGGTAGGGGTAGGGGTAGTGGTAGGGGTAGTGTAGTGGTAGGGGTAGGGGTAGGGGTAGGGGTAGGGGTAGGAGTAGTAGTAGGGGTAGGGGTAGTGGTAGGAGTAGTAGTAGGGGTAGTAGTAGGGGTAGGGTAGTGGTAGGGGTAGTGGTAGGGGTAGGAGTATGGGTAGTAGTAGTGGTAGGGGTAGGGGTA